GCCTTTCAGACCATCAAGCCTGCGCCAATTCTAATCCTTATTTAGACCCACTACTTATTGCCCATATACGGTTTCTATCCCTCTGTTCACCTCCCGGTCACGTGTCTATCAAGATACACCTTAAGTGTTACTAATGTGCCTGTTTCTACGAATTCCACTGGCAGTGTGTTCCAGGTAGCCACCACCCTCTGTGTGAAAAATTTTCCCTGTACTTCTTCCCTAAACTTTCCCTCCCTCACCATGAGCCTGTGCTTTCTTGGAGTTCACCTTTTCCCCTCTGTGAAGAAACCTCTGACCATCCATCGTATCTATGCTTCTCATAATTTTGCAGACCGCTATCAGGCCATCCCTCACCCTTCGTCGTTCCAGTGAAAACAATCCAAGTTTATTCAACCTCTCCTCCTACCTAAAACCCTCCAGACCAGGCAACTTCCTGGTAAACTTCCTCTGCATGTTCCCCAAAGCTTCCACGTCCTTCTGGTAGTGTGGTGACAGAACTATATGCAATATTCCAAATGTGGCCTAAGTTTTATACAGCAGTAACGTAACTTGCACACTTTTATATTCAGTGGCTTGGCTGATGAAGGCAAATGCACTGTATGCCTTCTTGACTACCTTATCCATCTGTCTTGCCACTTTCAGCGATCTGTGAACCTGTGCGCCTAGATCCCTCTGTATGTCAATGCAGTTGTGTAGTAATTTTGGAAACGTTGGATTACCATGTTCAAGTTTGAGCACTCCACCTGAGAAAATGATATATTGGTTTTGAAAGAAGTGCAGCAAATATTTACCAAAATGTTTCTGGATCTTAGGGGATTGAGGACAGAGCTGATCAAAGTCAGTAAGATGTTAAACACATTTGATAAGGTCAGTATGGAAAAACAGTGAGGAATTAAGAGCAAGAGAAAATGATCTTAAATTTATAACTACGTCATTCAGGAGCATTGTTGTAGAATCCCTGTAGAAAGAGGCCATTTAGCCCATCAAGTCTGCACTGACCTGCTGAAAAGCATCCCACCCAGATCCACCCCATCTCTGTAATCCTGCATTTCCCATGGTCAACCTACCCTGCGTATCCCTGGACACTGGGCGATTTAGCACGGCCAATCAATCTAACTCACACATCTTTGGACTGTGGGAGGAAACCGGAGCACCCAGCGGAATCACATGTGCAAACTCCACACAGACAGTCACCTTAGGGTGGAATCAAACCTGGGTCCCTGGTGCTGTGAGGCAGCAGTGCTAACCACTGAGCCACCATGCTGTGCTTATTCAGGAGCACATTTTCATGAAAAAGATGATGGAACTCCCTGAAAGATTATGGATGCTGGAACAATTGGAGCATTTGGGTGTGGCTAGAAACTGACACAGATTCATGACCCTTTGAGAGAAGTAATTTTTCCTCAACTGTGTTTTAAATCTGCTACCCCTGTCATCAAATTGATCTTTGGCATTCACAAGTGATCACAATTCTATAAACCCATCAGCAACTTGTTGCCAGCCAACTCTCACTTTGCGTACACACCCCAGTCTCCTTTTGCACCTTCCCCGACTGCTTGCAAAGCAACAGTGTAAGTACAACCCAAAATTAGTTGTCACTTACTTTTTAAAAGTATAACAGTTCCTTCCTCAGCTCTTTGTTGTAAAACAGTTCTTTTCTCAATTCATAACCAAAAATAAAGTAAAAATATATTAAATATCAAAACTGAGATTTGATGTATTTTTGCTGGGCATTGAGGGATCTGGACCAAAGACAACTAAATGAAGTTGAGATGCAACAGATCAGCCGTGGTCAAATGATGAAGCAGATCCAAGGACTAAATGGCATAACCCTGTTTCCATTTTCCTATAACAAGGTGTAGAGCTGGATGAACACAGCAGGCCGAGCAGGAAAGCTGACGTTTCGGGCCTAGAAACCCTTTTCTGAAGAAGGGTCTAGGCCCGAAATGTCAGCTTTCCTGCTCCTCTGATGCTGCTTGGCCTGTTGTGTTCATCCAGCTCTACACCTTGTTATCTCAGATTCTCCAGCATCTCCATTTTCCTATAATGCTTTTCCTACTTTTGTTATCATAAATGCTTAATATGATCATCTTATGGCACAATGGAGTGTCCCAACCTCTGTACCAGGATAACAAGGTGCAGGGCTGGATGAACACAGCAGGCCAAGCAGCATCATAGGAGCAGAGAGGCTGACGTTTCGGGCCTAGACCCTTCATCAGAAAAGGGGGAGGGGAAGGGGGTTTTGAAATAAATAGGGAGAGAGTGGGAGGCGGATAGAAGAGGGATAGAGGAGAGGATAGGTGGAGAGGAAACAAACAGGTCGAAGAGGCGGGGATGGAGCCAGTAAAGGTGAGTGTAGGTAGGGAGTTAGGAAGGGGATAGGTCAGTCCAGGGAGGACGGACAGGTCAAGGGGGCGGGATGAGGTTGGTCGGTAGGAGATGGAGGTGCGGCTTGAGGTGGGAGGAGGGGATAGGTGGGAGGAAGAACAGGTTAGGGAGGCAGGGACGAGCTGGACTGGCTTTGGGATGCGGTAGGGGGAGGGGAGATTTTGAAGCTTGTGAAATCCACATTGATACCATTGGGCTGCAGGGTTCCCAAGCGGAATATGAGTTGCTGTTCCTGCAACCTTCGGGTGGCATCGTTGTGGCACTGCAGGAGGCCCAGGATGGACATGTCGTCTGAGGAATGGGAGGGGGAGTTGAAATGGTTCGCAACAAACAGGTGCAGTTCCCAGTCGCGAACCGAGTGTAGGTGTTCTGCAAAGCGGTCCCCGAGCCTCCGCTTGGTTTCCCCGATGTAGAGGAAGCCACACCGGGTACAGCGGATGCAGTATACCACATTGGCAGATGTGCAGGTGAACATCTGCTTGATGTGGAAAGTCTTCTTGGGGCCTGGGATGGGGGTGAGGGAGGAGGTATGGGGGCAGATGTAGCACTTCCTGCGGTTGCAGGGAAAAGTGCCGGGTGTGGTGGAGCTGGAGGGGAGTGTGGAGCGGACAAGGGAGTCACGGAGAGAGTTGTCCCTCCGGAAAGCAGATAAGGGTGGGGAGGGAAAGATGTCTTTGGTGGTGGGGTCGGATTGCAGATGGCGGAAGTGTCGGAGGATGATGCGTTGGATCCGGAGGTTGGTGGCGTGGTACGCGAGGACGAGGGGGATTCTTTTTTGGTTCTAATTGCTTGGACGGGGTGTGAGGGATGAGGTGCGGGAGATGTGGGAGACACGGTTGAGGGCGTTCTCGACCACCGAGGGGGGGAAGTTACGGTCCTTGAAAAACGAGGACAACTGAGATGTACGGGAGTGGAATGCCTCATCCTGGGAGCAGATGCAGCGGAGGCGAAGGAATTGGGAATAGGGGATAGCATTTTTGCAGGAAGGTGGGTGGGAGGGAGGAGGAGTATTCTAGGTAGCTGTGGGAGTCGGTGGGCTTGAAATGAATATCGGTTTCTAGGTAGTTGCCCGATATGGAGACAGAGAGGTCCAGGAAGGGGAGAGAGGTGTTAGAGATGGTCCAGGTAAACTTAAGGTTGGGGTGGAAGATGTTAGTGAAGTGGATGAACTGTTCGAGCTCCTCGTGGGAGCACGAGGCGGCGCCGATACAGTCATCAATGTAACGGAGGAAGAGGTGGGGTTTAGGGCCGGTGTAGGTACGGAAGAGGGATTGTTCCACGTAACCTACAAAGAGGCAGGCGTAGCTTGGGCCCATGCGGGTACCCATGGCTACCCCCTTTGTCTGTAGGAAGTGGGAGGAATTGAAAGAGAAGTTGTTGAGTGTGAGGACGAGTTCGGCTAAGCGGATGAGGGTATCAGTGGAGGGGGACTGGTCGGGCCTGCGGGACAGGAAGAAGCGGAGAGCCTTAAGGCCATCTGCATGGGGAATGCAGGTGTAGAGGGATTGGACGTCCATGGTAAAGATGAGGTGTTGGAGACCGGGGAATTGGAAGTTCTGGAGGAGGTGGAGGGCGTGGGTGGTGTCACGGACATAGGTAGGGAGTTCCTGGACCAAGGGGGAGAAAATGGAGTCTAGATAGTTGAGATCAGTTCGGTGGGGCAGGAGCAGGCGGAGACAATGGGTCGACCAGGGCATTCAGGTTTGTGGATTTTGGGAAGGAGATAGAAGCGGGCAGTGCGAGGTTGGGGAACGATGAGGTTGGAGGCCGTTCCCCTCCCCCTTTTCTGATGAAGGGTCTAGGCCCGAAACGTCAGCCTCTCTGCTCCTATGATTCTGCTTGGCCTGCTGTGTTCATCCAGCCCTGCACCTTGTTGTCTCGGATTCTCCAGCATCTGCAGTTCCTACTATCTCTGTACCAGGATGTTTAGTTTCAAATTCCTGACCTGCATGTGTATCATTCCATGTCCAAACAGATTGATTTTAAAATGACTTAAAAGGTTTATATAATAACCTTAAGCATATAATTATATTTACCTGATGGAGTTGGTAATACAGGTAATTCAGCTATTATGCATGTTTCATCAACACGAATTGGCTATAACACGATTGACAGATTAGTGAACGCTTTTTGGAATACATGGGCTTTCTGTTGTATGGGTATAGCAATTTTCTATGGTGATCTTCTATAGTGTAATTTTTCTGTAATGATTTTCTATAGTGTGATTCTCTATAGCATGAGATCGCACAGGAACGCAACTATTCCGTAATACCGGAGCAACCTGTATTAAATCAATGGTGGGGAACCAACTGGGTGGATAGATATTACTTTCTTTGACTCTCTTAAGAGACAAACATGTATAAAAGTTTAACTAATTTCGAGATAACATCAAAAGGAGGGTCAGAAAATTACTGCTGGTTCTCTAATACTCAATTATATTTTGCACCTTGGTTGTTCACCTTTTTAAAGTTTTTGAGGACAGTTCTTAGACACAACTTGGAAGTATATAGAGTTACTATATGACACCATAAAATCTGTTCAAAATTTGAAATATTCTAATTTATAATCTGTCATTGATTTCCTTTGTATTTACTGTATGTTTTTCTTTGTAGGTGCACAGAGAAGTGATTCCAGCCCACACAGTCTATGCCTTGAATATTGAAAGGATACTAGCAAGACTCTGGCATCCTAGTCATGAAGAGTTGGAGCAGGATAAGATCCACCGTCAGAGGCTAGCAGTCAAGGAGGGACTTGTTTGTTGACTGGTTTGGGCCAAATGCTAGTGATCAGAGCATGCATTGCCCCCACTGTGAACGAATGCAGTAATCATTGCATTAAGTCTGATTTCTCCTCAACCTTTTGTCCGTGTCTGTCATCACCAATCAGAGTCTGCAATGTTGAGAAGTCTGAAACAAACACAGATCTGGCAGCATCTCTGAGAGAGAAATATGACTCTTTTTCCCTGCTGAGTTTCTCCAGCATTTTCTGTGCTTGCTTCTGATTTCCAGCATACCCAGTATTTTGCTTTCATTATGGTGAGAAGCCTCATTGGCAATATGTCGTGAAGTATGTAAATTGTAACAATTTTGTTCAAAGTGTTCATAATTCTCATAGAAGTTGGTTTATCTGTCAATTAAGATATGTACATTGCTGAGGTTTACCTGCAAACATCAGAGGCCAGTTTAAATAACTTTTTGTCTGCTTTTAAAGTGTACTGCCTTGAAGTTAGTGAGCGTGATATTCATGTACAGATGTTCTGAAATTCTTGCTGTTACATCAGAGGTGTGGATGTATCTAAAATAAACTGGTTTGTGTTTACTCCTCTGGTAAAGTATGGGATGGAATTTCAAACAGACTGCTTTGAGCAAGGGTTTGTACTGAATATTCCACACCATAATTTGAAGGCTTGCATGGTTTGTCAGTTTTGTCTAATACCTGTCTACAGATGAAACCTTGGTACTAAGTTTCAGATTCTTCTTTGTTCATCGGTAGTTTTTCATAAACACTTCAACTGAGTATAGATATCTCATTCAATAGGCAGAATGGCTTGAGGTTTAAGATTGCCAACACAGTATAATGACACTGCGAGAATTTTATTTTTATACAATAAATTGACTGCAGTTGATCAGTATTAATACTAATGTCTTTTCTTGGATAGACTAGTGTGTATGTTTTTTTTTAATGCTTTTTGGAGTCTCTGTGCAAAAACACAAGTGTTCATTCAGTAAAATTTAAATATACCAAAATCAAACATCCTTAAGTGATGTTGTAAAACTTCCCAACTTTCTTCTCTGAAGTTGAACTGCATAACCACAAAAACTGACTTCTTCGAACATGATTCAGTCTAAAAAGCTTATCTAAGATGCATACAGTTTAGAAAACATGTATCTTTCCAATCTTTTTTGTTTTGAATGCATGTTCTGATGATTTGATATAATGCTGAATTATAAAGAGGTTGGTCTCTAAATTAGTTCATGGCTTAAAAGTGCTTCTGGACATTTCTTAAAATATAGCTGTTTCCATCCTGTTGATTCACTTCCTGATATAATAATTTCACTTACTCAAATTGCTCTGAGTTGTGGGTGAACAGATTATGCTACCTTAGTCAAATGTATGCTTGCCCTTTCTTAAACCTTCTCCTATAGAACTCTATTGCTTCACAAATGTTGGGAACGTTGTCTATAATTTAGGAAATGCTTTAGTATTCGGTATTAACCTTTGGGCTGACAGTTAATAGTTATTATAATACAACTTGTCAAGTTATGGCACTGAGAAGAACAGTTTTGATTTTTGCAAAGTTCATTGAGACCATTCCTTTTTTTTCCTCTGATTATGCCAGTTTTGGATTTTCAATCTTGTGTCAACTTATTGGATGCATTTCACCCCTTTGGGTACTTTGCCACTCCTGATTCCTAACCTAATGTGAGAGTACCCTTCAGCTTTCCTAGAGGCATGAATAATTCTTATCTTAAATCCTCCCTAGGTAAGGCCATATTTACCATCTTTGCCTACTCCAAAGGACCTATCAAGGCACCAATCCCTTTATATTTCCCTTTGGAATGCTTTTTCAGTCACAAGGCACTTACTCTCCTTGACCCCACTTCTGCGTCTATTCCAGAAAATATGGAGCATTGAGTGACCGTGAAAAAGTGCTTCATTAACAAGATGGTAAAATTGGGCATTTGTTGCAATTGGCAATTTAGTGCAGAGAAGGAAATTTTTAAAAAGTCTTTCATAGGATTTGGGCATTTGTCACTCATCTCTCATTTCCCTTCAACTATTAGGCACATTAGTTGACAGTTAAAAGGCAACCACATTGCTGAAGGTCTGGAGTCGCGTGTAGGCCAGACCAGCTAGGGACAGTCGTGAACGTGATGAGTTTTTAAGGCAATTGATGACAATTGTCATTCGTCACCATTAGTGAGACTAATTTTATTTTCAAGAGTTAGTAATTAATTGCATTTAAATTTTATCAGCTCAGGATGAGCATTGGTTTGGGGTTCTGGAATACTTTTCCAGTGACGTTACTGTGGTCCACTATCTAATCAATAGGTGCTGCTTTTTATTAGCTTATTTTACGTCATGATTATTCTTCATTTGTCTCTAAGCTAGGAATGTCTCTAACCTAGGGGACAGGCTGTTTTGGATCTGGTATTGTGCAATAACTCAAAGGGCTGTGAATCTGGAATTCTCCATCTAGGAAAGCTTTGAATCCTTAGTTGGTGAGTAACTTCAAATTAGAGCTTGTTTGATTTTTGGGTATGAGAATATTAAGGGATACAGGGCAAATGCAGAAAGATGGAGTTGAGGTAAAAAATGAGAAATAATTGTGTTGCTGTGAAACAGTCTCAAAAGACAAAATGGTCTACTCAGCTCCTTTTTATGAGAAAAATTCTTCCCTCCAATCACCTGCAAATGCATTTTCAAAATTATGTTAGAAGGATGATTTATGACCAACACTTCGTCCACACTATGTAAAAAGCTGAGAATGTCAAGTTTTTTTTAAAAACCTGGAATGATGATTCCCATTTTGTGTACAAGTTGCTTTTTTGCTCCCCTTTCATTAACCATCTACAATCTTTGAATTCATTATATTCAGTTTTATGCCATATATAGCAATTTGTCTTGTGTGAGGTTGTCTTGGATGCCGACTTTTCCAACATGTGACCCTGTGATAGGATGTGTGGCAGACGTTCATGAGAAGATGATTCTTGCATTCCAGATCTTTCAGCTGTATTGTCTGAAGATGCAGTGGCAGTAAATTCAAAAATAACTTTCAAAAGGAAGTTGGTCTTGTACTGAACTGAAATGTTTACAGTGTTTTGGCCCAGGAAGTAAGGGAATAGTTTTCCCATAGCTTCACAGATGCTGCCAGACCTGCTGAGCATTTCCAGCAACGTCTGTTTTTGTTCCTGATTTACAGCATCTGCGGTCCTTTCGGGTTTTATTTAGCTTTCTCATAGCCTTCATTTGGGTTCGAATTCAATGACTATCCATTATATTTTGTATCGTTTTCCTTTTATATTGCATGTTGTGTTCCCACTATCTCTATTACTGCACCCTGTAACCAGCCATAAATAATTTGACCACAACTTCAGGATGAGATTAGTGACAGATTAATCTTTTGGATTTGCACTGAAGGTTCTATAGAATTTATGAAAATCCATTTTTACCACAGCTTTTTGTATGGAGTCTAAATTACCAAACAAAACATTGTCAGCCATCAGAGCTTTTGTTTTAATTCATTCATTCATGGGATGAGGGTATTGTTGGCTAGGCCAGCATTTTTAGCCCACCCCTAATTGACCAGAGGTCAGTTAAGAGTCAACCACGGCTGTGGGTCTGGAGTCACATGTAGGCCAGAACAGGTAAGGATGGCAGTTTTGTTCCCATAAAGGGCATCAGTGAACCAGATGGATTTTTCCACAGCAATCAATTCATGGTCATCATTTATACTCTTAATTCCAGATATTTATTGAATTCAAGTTCCCCCATCTGCTGTGGTGGGATTTGCATCTGGGCCCCTGAATATTACTTGAGGTCCCTGGATTAACAGTCCAATGATAATACCACTCGGCCATTTCCTGGGATTATTGCAGCAAAGGATTCTCTCTATACCCTTTTTAAAATGTTCAAATTGCATTGAGTATCTCCTTCAGATTTAGAAGTTTGATATTTGATTGACATGAAAGGTGTCAACAGGAATCTGAACTGCAACTTGTTTAAGGCTGAATGAATGGGCGAAAAGTTTAGAGTTACTACATTGTTGGAATTAATTTCTTTTTAACTTGGCTTAGCTTAACTTGCATCACACCACAGTTGTGTGTGTAATCTGACCTCAGATTTAAAAGTTAGCCTAACAGCGAAGACAAAAAAATTACTTTGTTAATGCCCTTTAATGAGTGAAATTGGCCAAACATACATGGACTAGCCTGTGTGTCTCTCAAGAACCCTTCAGCAATGTGGTTGACTGTTGGCTGTCCTCTGGGCAATTAGAGATTGGACTAGCAAGCAAAACCATCATTCCATGAGCATATTAAAAGGAAAATCATCTGTATGGCAAGAGGCAGAGCTGTTTTTTGCTTGGGGTGGGCCCTTAAAAGGGAAGCGAGTGGGCCATTCAGCCCATCAAACCTATTCTACCATTCATCATGATCATGGCTGATCATCTACCTCAATAGAGATAGTAGGAATTGCAGATGCTGGAGAATCCGAGACAACAAGGTGCAGGGCTGGATGAACACAGCAGGCCAAGCAGCATCATAGGAGCAGAAAGGCTACCTCAATAGCCTGTTTCTGTTTTATCCCCCTGTATCTTTGATCCCTTTAGGTCCAAATGCTGTGTCCAACTTGAAATCATGCAATATTTTGGCCTTGACAGCTTTCTGTGGTAGCAAATTCCTCAGGTTCACCACTGAGTGAAGAAATTTCTGCTCATCTCAGTCCAAATGGTTTACATTCTCCTTAGACTGTGATCCCAGGTTCTGGACTTCCCTGCGATTGGGAGCATACATCCTACATCTGTCCTGTCTAGTCCTTTTATAAATTTCTATGAGATCCCCACCCCACCCCATACCCCCTTTCTTCTGCACTCCAGTGCATATAACCTTAACCAATTCAACCTCTCCTCAATATAAATACCCGTCATTCCCAGGAACCAGTCTGGTAAATGCTCACTGCACAGGCTGTATAGCAAGAACATCCTTCCTCACAAAACTGCACACAATATTCCAGGTGTTGTCTCACCAAGATCCTGTATAACTACAGCGAGACATCTCTGCTCCTGTATTTGAATCTTTTTTCTGTGAAGCCAATCATACCATTTGCTTTCTTTACTGCCTGCTACACATGCATGCTTACCTTTAGCGACTGGTGTACAAGGACACCCAGGTCTTATTGCACGTTCCCTTCTGTCAATTTATAGCCATTCAGAAGATAATCTGCCTCCCTGTTTTTGATACCAATATATGTGAGACGGGTTGACTTTGAAATTAGCAAATGAAATGAATTGGGAAGAGGACGTTTGACAAATTTTGCCAGTAAAAGGTTTGTGTTCACATGGAAAAAGCCTGGAGGCAAAATTTATTATTCTTTACCTCAGCGTGTACCACATTGGGTTGAGGAGAAGGAAAAAGCTGACTTAAAAGCAATTTGTACTCGTACGACGTGTTTAACATAAGACACCTAAAGTGCCTTGCAGGAAATCTATGAAATACAATTTGGGAAAGCCACCTGGGGAGATATTGGGTAAGATGACCAAAAGCTTGCTCTAAGAAAGCCTGAAGGAGTTTCTTAAAGCAGGAGAGTGAAACTTAGGGAGAGAACAGGCTGATGTCACCAGTGGACAAACTGGTTGCCTGGGACACAAAATATAGGTGGGTGGTGTCAGCCATAGCATGCTATTACCAGTATTGCAGCAAAAATCTGAACGGTCTGAAACTTTAAAATCACACGAATAACTTCCCACGAGGATCTGGGCAGACTGTAGTTTCACTTCAGTCCCTTGGGAATTTTCTGAAGCAAACATTTGGAGTAGAGAGTAGCTTACTTATGGTCCCGCCTGATGGCCAGCATGATGTCCAGAACAAAACAGACAATGACTGTAAATCTTTTATCTACATATGTTTCTCT